CCTAACTTTGCCATAGATACATGATTTTGTACCTTAAAATTTGATTTTGACCTTAGTTCATAATTGATCGTCTTCATGTATCAATCTATAATTTTTTAAGTTAATTATTATTACAAAATATTTTTAACTATTTCTTTAAGATGCTTATATTATGTATTTTTTTTATCTACTTTTTTTCCCTTATTTATAGTCATACAAAGTAAATAGAAGTCTTTTTTTAAAAAATATATATATATATCAATAATATTAAATATTTTTGCTATTTTATTATATTTCACCTATTTTTTACTTAAGCTCTTTTATAATAGAATTCATTTTTTTCTTTCATAAAATAATAAAAAAAATAACAAGCATAATAAAAGCCAAATTAATATTAATTATACAAGATTTGCAATCACACAAATAATACCTAAAGAAGTTATTGCATATAGTCAATAAGTAAAATATAATTTAAATTGATAATTAAAGAAGATCATTTGTCATACAAGGTCAAAATTTATACTCCAAAGTACAAAACAAAAGACCAACAACAAAGAAAGATTATTTTGAAGCTTAGAGCTTTAGGTTAAAAATAAGTTTTTAAAATTATATAAGAATGTAAAAGTTTTAGAATTTTGATGTTGTAGAGCTCTTTTGTGAAGAAAGAAAAAACAAAATTTGTAATATTACAATTAAAAAGGTAATAAAGTTTAATATGATTTCCAACTAGAATTTTAGAAATTTAAGAATTAATCTATTATTAAATCATAATATATGTACTTGCATACAAGCAAGAAACTTAATTTTTTTAATTTGGTATAATTTTGACAATTAGATCATAAGTTATTGGTCTATACATATAGATATATATATATATATATATATATATATATATATATATATATATGCTAAAAAAGAACAAATTAAGGTTACCAACTTATTTCTTAATATCAAAAGATAAAAACGTTAAATAGATAAAATTTTAAATATGTTAATAAAATATATAAAATTAAAGGAGAATAAATTTTTTATTAAAATTTAATGGCTAAGTTCTAAGATATTGCTATTGGAGTTTTTTTTTGGTGTCAAGTTAGAGATTTAGACTTTATTAAAGGAAAAAATATTAAAATATTATTTAATGAATAATATAAATTATTATTAAATTTTATGAATATATCTAAAATTAACATGTTTAAAATTATAAAAAAATAAAATATATTTAATAAAGTAATCAGAAGATATAGCTCATTAAAATTGATGCTTATAATGTAGGATTTTTAGAGATTTTTTAGAATTTCTTAATAACAAATTAAGTTTTCTAAAATTTTCTTTAATATTGTTAAATACTTTCAAAAGATTTCTTTAGAAATTATTTGGAATATTTTCAAAGTTTATTTTAGGATTATTAGAATTTACGATGTAAGATTTAGAATTTAGATTTCAAAATTACTTGGATTTAGAATTCTTAAAAATATTAATCTTATTAAATAAAATAAAATAAAATACCTTATTTTTAGATAATAATTAAAATAAATTAATCTTTAGATAAATCTCTTGTATAAATAAATAACTAATGCATTTCCAAGTTGTATTTCATAAAACTTAATACCATTAGCTCTAAATTCTAATTTATACATATTTTCATAGATGCATGCATAGATAGAAATACCAAAAAATAAATAAAATATATTTATAGATTATATATATATATATATATATATAACTTAGGATCTAATAAATCAAACATCCTTTGAATAATGATGTATATCTTGTAACTAATAATGTTGACTTATACAAATGTGTTTATTGCATGACAGTTTTTGCTTATATAATTTGAGCTCCAATATTACAAGAAAGTGCATTTAGGATTATTAAGCAATATATGTAATTTTATTTATTTTTCAAAAATAGCCATATATTTTCTTCATAAGAAAGATACTATAATAAATATGTTATTTCAGATATGTATATAATCATATTTCATATGATATTTTATATAATTATTATAAGAATTTTAGTTTTTTTAAATTCTTATAAAATCTTTAGATATAGGTCTATTCTTTATATATATTTATTTGCATAAATAGACCAAATTAATGTGTTTATACTTTTAAAAGATTGATGGATTTTTTTGAGTGGATATAAGTACATCTTATTGTAATTTATACATTTACATGTTTAAAATCACGATTTCAAATAATGCATGAAAACCTTAAAAATTGAGGTACTTTATTTCTTTGTATCTTATAAATTTACATTGTGATAGAACTTAATATTTTGGAAATAGTTTCCAAAGCTTATTGTCTTGAAATCTTAATTATGTGTTCTTTTTGGCAATTTTTCTTTAAAATATATATATATATATATATATATATATATATACAAGTTATGTGACATAATATTTTAGAATTAGAAAATGAATGTAATATATAGTTACTTAAGTAAGAATATAAATTTCAAGTATATTTTTTATTATACACAAAAGCTTATGTTTGAAGTACTTAAGAATGTCTTTATTTTTAAGAGATAAAAATGAGAGGCTAAAACTTTCTAAATCATTTGATAGATTGAAATTAAGAAACCTTGGTGGATTGGCTTTGTACTTAAGAAAATCATGCTAAAAGATCTTAAGAAGTAAAGATGAGGTAGAATGCATTTTTTTCTTACATAGTAGTATTGTTCCTAAAAAATTCTAAAGATTCCATCCAAAGAAGTTTTTTTTAGAAAAACCAAAAATTAGATTATTATTTTTTAAAATCTTTATTTTAAATAAAATTATATTTTATATTTATTATATCTATGTAATCAAGATATAAAATTGGTAAATTTAGACTCATAATAAATAAATTGATTGATATATTTCTTATACATCTTTTTGTCTTATGTTATATTCAAAAGCTAAGGCTTTACAAAAAATATAAAATATAAAAAAATCTTTATTAAAAAAGAGACTTTTCTTGAGAGAGAGAGAGAGAGAGAGAGAGAGAGAGAGAGAGCTTCTACACCATGGCTTTTTAAAGTAGTCTTCTAGGTAAAAAAAAAAAAAAAAAAAAAAAAAAAAATACCTTAAGGATATCTTAAAACCTAAACATCCTTTTTAAAAAACTATTGTATAAAAGCTCTACAAAGACCTCTTGTTTATTAAGAGAAATTATCTTTTAAAAGCCTTAGCCTATGGTGAGAGTAAAAAGTAAGAAGAATCTATGAAATGAATCCAATCACATTTGTGTATTTACATGAATATATATATATATATATATATATATATACAAAAATTTTAAAAATTGACATAGTTTTCATATTTTAATTAAAAAAAATATCTTTTTCAAAAGGCCCTATTATAAAGTTTGAAAAACAATACTATTTATACCATATAGGTAAAAAATTCATTTCACCTCATCTTTTCTTCTTATAATCTTTTGGTTGATTTTCCTAAGTATAAAATCAACCAAATGAAACTTCTTGATTTCAACCAATTAAAGACTTTGAAAGTTTTGATCTCACACATATTGCCATTTGAATATTAAATTCTCCAAAAACATAAATCAAGAATGAATTGTTAAAAAGTATCATAAATGTCTATTCTTCCATTGACATAGCAATAAAGCTAGACTTTGTATCAATTTATTTGTTTAGAGTGATTAGAGAGTTGTTGATGCATTGGTACATTAAATGTGGCCAGCACCATCTATGTAGTTTTGAACCATTGGACAATTAGGGATTTCAAACATGACACTTTTGCAAAACCAAATAACTGAGATTCAATACTTGATATTTCTAGGATCACTTAAAATATCAAATCTAAAATATCACCATTCAAACTTTATTACCCCTTCATATTATACCTTGCTTCAAACTTTATTACCCCCTTGATGTGGAATCAAAGAGGGAAGAGAGATTAGGGAAGCAATACAATTTTTGATAATTGACTTACCCAGCTTTTGATATTGATATTTTGATTTCTAAATCACCCATTTTGTGCAGTGGGTGATTTGGTGAGGTATCAAATGATATTTCAAAATATCACAAGATAACTTGAACTTGCATCACAAGTGAAATATCACCCTAAAAGGCCATGTTTGAATCCCCCCTTATTGGAGATATTTGGATGTGAGGATGAAAAGAATTCTTGTCTGCAAATGTCTTGGATTTTTGTTATGTGATTTGAGTGGCAAAGATTTTTAATGTCCTCTACAGAATTTCTACAAGAGGCCTTTGATTGTCACTTGTGCGAAGTGCTGGTTTTCACTTAATTAGGTTTCAGGAATTGGGGACTGGAAGACCAGTTGTTTTCCATGCCTAAGGTGGTGACTGTAATTAAGCCGCTGATAATATTTTAACTGTCAGAACTACAAGTGAAAATGAATCACATGCAGGCAAACCTGAACCCTGGTGCACCGTTATCTTGTTCAAAGGAAACATGGAGAATCTGAATAGGGAGACTTCTTGTACCACTCTCCGTATGTGTCATGCAATTTTTGCAGAGGGAGGTGTTGCACTGGGCGCCAAAACAGTTGCACATCAAAGAATGAACCAGAGGGTTGTCTTTCTCTTAGTAGAGGGCATGCTGGTTGCATTGAGGATGTGTGGCAAACACATGCGAGCCACTTTCAGCAAGAGTTATGGAAGAAGTATCATCTCCAGGTTTACTCCTCATGCAATCCTTGATATTAACTTTTTGTCTGTTGATTGTTCATAAACAATGAGTTGTTCAAGTGTAATCTTTTCATCCAGTAAATTAGGAAGGCACATTGTAATACAAGACAAACTTTCCTGTGCTGAATCCCGACTATTCTGCAGAACGAGGTTATTGAACCATATGTTTATAACCCTAGAAAGCCATAAACATCTCTATTGTCGTTCCTCAATCATCACCTAGAAAACAACTTTGAAATGTTTAACTACAGTCTCAACCACGAACCCATCCATCCTCAGACTCATGCCGTATGCTACTATCAGAAAACAACTAAGGACATGCGACTAGCGATGCAATAGAATCAGCGATAAAAAAACTACACACATGGAAAAGGACACGATCATCAGCGTTATCCATGAATAAATTACCATCGAAACTCAGTGCCTGAAATGAGAATGAGAAACTGGACCATGTAACATTTGCAAGCTATGAGATATCACATGCACAAATTGAAATCAACTAGATGCCTAAAGTCCTTCGTTGTTGAGGACCTAAGTGTTGGTAGCTCTAGTGTAAATCTGCTGGTTGGCATGAGCCGCAACAAGTCTGATGGTGCCCTTCGCCATCAACTCCTTGATCGCCTTCCTTGCCAACGATCCAGTAATCTGCACCCACACCACCCGCTTCTCAACGTCGCCCCTTCCAACCCCAAACTTTTACGTAATTCTCTCTCTCTCTCTCTCTCTCTCTCTCTCTCTCTCTCTCTCTCTCTCTCACACACACACACACCGCATCGTTGGGGTTCCAGCCTTCTAAACCTGCACACTCCTCCAAACAAACCTACCTGCCCTCCTACCACCAACCCTTCCCGGCCGCTCACACTACAACTCCACACCCACCACGTCTATCCCCTTCCACATCATGCTCCACCGCTTCCCGCACCCGATAATAACCCCACTCCTCACTAATCATTCCTCAACATGCCAATGTCTCCGCGTCTCGGCTTCCACCTCATTGCCCTCCAAAATCCACCTCGATCCATTCAACACCAACAACCGCTGCCCCGACTCATTTGCGCAACACCCACAAAAACCTCCTCTACCCCACGCCACACATTCACGTCAATCCACCCTTGCACATCCACTCCATCAAATGCTTACCCGCAGACGGTCAGACAACACGGAAGGGGTCACCAGCTTGAACTTCGGAACCTCAGACAGCAGCTTGTCGTACGTGCCCTGGTCGAACAGCACCATGTTGTTCACCTTCTCCTTTTGCTTGCCCTTGCTCCACTTCTACAAATCCTCAAACCCACTCGGCTTTCAGCGAAGGCTCTACCCGTTCCTCCAACGATCACACACTTCGCGCCTCGAAATGAACTAAACCCCTGACCCGAAAAAACAAAAATTTCAACCAAATTGCGGCAACTCAGTGGACACAATGCCATACCTTCTTCTTTTGCTTGCCGCCGCCGCTCTTGGCCGGCTTGGCGGCAGCAGGCGCCTCCTTCTTCTTAGGAGCCTGTGCACGCACAAGCACAGGAGCCAGTTAATCACTCCGTCCAAGGTGGGTGAGCACACAAGGCAGAGGAGAATGCATGCGAAAGAGGAATACGGGCAGAGAACATACCATAATGCAGATGAACGGGGTGCGTGGGGCAGAAGAGAGAGAGAAACAGAGACAGAAAGGGGGATGTATTATTATTATCGAGGGGAGGGGCGAGCAGGACGCAGCGAGGGAGAGCTGAAAGGAGAGCCTTCCTTTCTGCGCGCTGTTGCCCTAACTGACGAAGATACCTCGCTCTCTCTCTCTCTCACCCCGCATCGCCTCTTCCACGCAGGCCGATGCACCCAACACACTGTCGGACGAACCAACGGACGGACGGACGGACTAATGAACCGACTAACCAAAATATTTTAAGAAGAACAAAATTACTTCAAAGGAATAATCTTTCTAAGCCAAATGTACTTTGAATAAGTCTATTTTGTATTTAAGGATGTGGAATGACGCCATGGAAGATTATTTACTTACTTTCTAAGATAAGATTTTAGAGAGTAATTTCTATTCTATATATCCAAGATATTAATAATACATCATTAATAAGAATGTACTACATTGTAAGGCTAGAAATTAGATAGACTTAAGTAAAGAGGTAGATTAATGCATACCAACATTTGGCTTATAATCACAACATCAATAAGTTGGATTCAATAAAAATATGCAATTTGTTACGTTTAGACATACAAAAATCAAAGTTCACCAAATGAATATAGAATCTAAATTTGATTCTTTTGGATCTTTAAAAATAAGATATTATATTAAATATAATTATTATTAAAGAAAAATTAAATAATTTTTTTAATTTATTTTTTTGGTATAAAAATCTAAATATATAAATAAAATTAAAGAAAATTTAAGATGTTATTTGAAGAACAATAAGAATTATAAGTTGATCTTAAAAAAAATTATTGTAAAATATGCTTGTATTTAATGTTATATTTAATAAAAATATACAAAAAAATAGATTATTACTACTTCCAAATCTTAAAACTTACAACTAATCTAAGAAAATAATGATAATAATAATAATCTCATGATTTTTTTTAACAAGAATAACATTCAATTTTTATATAGAAAATATAATAATATAGAATTAATTAATATATATATATATATATAAATTATTATGAATATATATAAAATTAATTAAAATTCTACTATTTTAATAAAATTATAATTTTTTAAAGTTTTGTAATATAATAAAACAACAATTAATATCAAGGACATAAATCACAAAGAGCCAAAGGACCAATATATACTTGTATCACTAAAAAAGTATAGATAATCATTCAAAGATGGAATAATATTAAGTCTAGAATAACTATTACTAAAGACAAGAAGACTAGATTAAAGCCTAAAATAAATAAAGTAGATTATTGGATTTTGGTTTATGATAGTAGTTTCATGCACCAATATTCTATTCTTTATAAGTTTGTATGTTATTGAATTTGGATCCTATGTCGTAGTTAAAATGCATAATAATGTAACTTATTTGTAGAGAAAAAATTTGGATCATTGCAAATACGTATCAATTATTAAGGATTCAATAAGATCACCATCAAGAACAAATATCCACTACGTTTGATATCTAGACTTTTTGATCAATTGAATCAAGCTAAGATCTATACAAAAATAGATATATGAAGGGCATATAATCTAATATATATCAAAAAAAGAGATGAATGGAAGACTATGTTTTAAACCAAGTATGGACATTTTGAATATAATGTCATGCCTTTTGGACTTACAAGTGCACCAACAGCTTTTTAGTATTTAATGAATGATGTATTTTGAAATTTTTTGGATGACTTTATTGTTTATTATTTAAACAACATCTTAATATATTATAAGAATATAAAAAAACATGAACTTCATGTTTGTTGTGTGTTTTAAAAACTAAAAGATACAAGACTCTATGTCAAGGTAAAAAAGTATATATTTTATATTATTTAAGTCAATTTCTTAGGATACATTATTTTGAATAATGGACTTATGATGGATCTTAAGAAAGTTTATACTATTATGGGTTGGAAGATTCCAAAAATAATAAAAAATGTTTAGTACTTTTTAGGATTTGCTAACTATTATTGAATTTTCATCAAGGACTTCTCTTAAGTTGCAATTCTACTTATATGTGTAACTTGTAAAGACAAATTTTAATAGAATCAAGAAGCAAAAATATCATTTTAAGATTTAAAGACAATCTTTGTGTTTGTACTAATCTTATACTGTATTGACTATTTTAAGCTATTTTTTTATGGAAACATATGCATCAAACTTTGCTTTAAATGCCGTATTGTTACAAATTGGAATAAATGATAAAATTTAGCCAATAGCTTTTTATTCCAAAAAAAATTTACTAGCCAAGGTCAAATATAAGATCTATAATAAAAAAAACTTCTTGCAATGGTGGATTTATTTCAAAAATATGCCATTATTTAGAAAATACTTCTAATTTAGCTATTGTATGTACAAATTACAAAAATCTTGAGTATTTTTTGTCAACATGCATTTTGAATTGTTGCCAAGACCACTATAATATATCTTTATTAAGATTTGAATTCAAGATTACTTATCAAGAAAGAAAAAAATAAGATTTATCAAATACTCTTTCTAGACAATCTTACCTTATATCAAAAGAAAAAAATGTTGTTTTTGTTCAAGAACATATAATTTTCTTGAAGCCAAAGAATTTCCATCTTTAAGCAATGAAATTAATACTAAATATTGATTCAACTTTTATTAAATAAGTTTAGTTAAATGTGTCTTTTAAATTTCTTATTTATGATATTAAAAAAAATCCTTCTAAGTTTCAAAATACTTCCAAGCTTGAATTCAAGAACAATCTATTATATTTTAAGGGACATTTATATATTCTAGAAGATGAAGCTTAATTACATATTCTTCAAGCTCTTCATGACTTTTCAAGAAAAAGATAAATACCACTATTTTTTATAGAAGTAAGTAAAAATCAAGAATTTGAGGTGAAAGAGGTATTAGACTGAAGGCAGCACTGACTTAGGTTGGAAAATCTTATTCATTGGGATAGATACAATATTAACAAATGTATATAGAAGCCAACAAAGACATCTTACAAATATAGAAAAGAAGATTAAAACTTTTTATCAACAACATCTATTAAAACTAAGGTAAAAGATAACAAACCTTTGCTATAAAAGAAACTTAATTTAAAAAAGATTGCATTCTACTTTCTATCCTTATTTATAATTTTTATATAATTATAGTATTAAAGAGATAGAAAATCAATAACTAATAGATTCAATTCAAGAACCATCATTTGTTGACTTATAAAAAAAAATATTTCAATTATCACAACCTTCAAGATAAAGTAATAGGAATGAAGACCTTCAAGAATGACATGTTCTTCTTCAAATACATAGCAAGATACAACATGTTTGATATCATGACTTGAAAAGAAAGTCTCAATGTTTAGTAATTTTATTGGAGATAAAAATGATTTTTTATGGTATTATAAATATTTTATTTGAAAGAAGTTACAAAAGTCTCAAGAATGATCAAATTATAATATGATCTTTTTGTCCTAGAATGGAATACTATCAATAGCCAAAAGACATATCAACTACCTTCAAAGGAAACAAAGATCAAAGTACATGGCAAATACAATTAGTCACATCTTAAATTTCCTCAATATGTGATCACTACTCCTTGTAGAACTCGTTCCTAAAAGAAGGGATGTCATGGAAATATATTTATTATAATTGATACTTAGGTAATACAAATATGTAAAAATAGATAAAAATAAATTAATTTCATAATATCTTTGATTTTATATGTATTTGTAGTTGATTGATAGGTTGAAATTAGGTCAAAAAATTAACCACGTATCACATATGTTGATAACTTACAAAATAAGTTAATTATATGGCATCCATATAAAAAAAACTTACCTTGCAAGTTAAGATATAGATCATGCAAAGTCAATACGTTTTGGAGGTCCTATAGAATGTCACCATATAGTTCTTAAGTAGATAGTATATATAAAAATAAAAATGAAGCCTTCTTCATTTTTGTCAATTCTTTTCTTGCTTCTAATCAAGTTTCAAGAGTCTCTAATTGATACAACTACTATTTGGGCCTATGTGATAAGTGAGCATAATAAAAACGAATCTTATGATACATCAATGGAGATTAAGAGGGATAGAATTTATTTTGAGAGAAGCTATCATGGACATACATACTTAGTCTAGTAATTATCTTTATAATTAAATAAAAGTAGATAAAATTATACAAAGGTAAAATAATTTCATAATATCTTCTAAAAAAGCTTTTTAGAAGCTTTATAGATATGGTTTTGATTTTATACATATTTATAATTAAAATTTAGTCTAGAAATTTTATCAATAAATTAGCCACGTATCACATGTATAGATAGCTTATAGAACAAGCTAATTATGTAAAACATGTAAAGAAAACTTATCTTACAAGTTAAGTCATATGGCTTGTAAAGTCAATACATATTGGAGGTCCTATAGAATGTCACCATGTAGCTCTTAGGCAGATAGTATATAGAGATATGAGTGAACCTTTTTTCATTCTTGTCAACTTCTTTCTTGCTTTAGTCTAGATTCAAGAGTCTTTAATTTTCTTATCTTTTGGCATTAGTCATTCTAGTTTTTTTTTTAATAAATATATTTTTTTACTTCTATTTTATCATACTTTTATAAAAAAAAGTCTCAATTGATTATTTTCTTTCATTAAATTATTATTCTTAAAAAATTGACATCATAAGAAATTACAAGAATATACTTGTAATATTAAAGTTTTATCTTTTCTTGATTAAGAATAGATTATTCCTTTGTCTTGATAAGACATAAGTGTATTAGAAGTTTTCAATTACCCTCTTTTAAATTAATATTATCTTTAATACTTTCTTTATTTTTAAGTCTTTTCTTCTATTTGGCTTAAGCAATATTAGACATTTTTTCTTCCTTAAGTGTTATCATAGCAAAGCTTCTTAAAATAAAGAATGCAATGATATAAATACAAGAAAAATTGATGAAGTTAATGCTTGTGATGTATCTATTCAATTTACCACCACAAAAAATAACAAGAATGGTATGGAACAAAGATATAGAGATGATTGGAGTGGCTTCAATATCTGCACCAAATTATGTCATTTTTCTTATATCCAAACATCTTTTCAATATTAGTATATCAAAGATGTACTATCCGAGAAGTTTGATG